CAGACGTTTGGCCAACCAACTATTCGAACAAGTACGTTTCCAGCCAAACCATGCGACTCACTGATGTCGAATGTCGTCTAGCTGGCTTATGCGATTTCAAAAGACGGCAAAAGATCCTTTTCATGCGCAATATCGGCAGAAACCTCGCGGGCCCCGACTGCGTTGAGCCGCACGAAACCTGCCCCGTCAGACGACATCAGATTGAGGGGGTTAAGACGAGGTCAATCTCTCGCCCGTTCGAATTCTGTTGGGAGCAGGACGTTTTGTTCCGGCGACCTCACAGGTTCTTGTTCACGAGCATTTCAGCCTGATGATTCGGGATGCCGAGGCGCCTGTTTGCAGTTGACACATCAAACCCTACATCTGAGCGTTTACAACAGCGAAGGCAGGTGTATCAAGCGGTGCAAACAGACTGGTGTTTTGTTTCGCGACGCCTTCGCGGAGAGGGGCCGGTGCGGGGAAATTGGGGTCCATTTGTACCGACTGACCCGACCCGTATGCAGAAACCGGGGCCAAGTGCCATGTGGGGATAACCATCCTCGGCGAGGAGTTTCCCGCCTACCCTAGCCCCGTCAGATGCAACTCTACGTTTCTTCGAGACGAACCGAACGTTTGGAGATGATACCTGGATCTACTACCTACTTTTCTGTCCGTCGTCTGTCCAAATTGGCTAAAGCGCAGTAACGAATCTCCTGAGAAGTCACGATGGGCGGGAAAGGAAGTCATCAGCCAGCAATGATCCCGTGTCCTTATCGTCATCTTGCAGGATGATCAACCAGCCCCTGTTCCTGAACGCAGCAATACACGCGCAAATCTCGCGGCCATGCATCATGCAGCGGCAGGAGTGCGCCCAAGGTACGACAGTGGGCTGCTGGGCAAGTACCAGTACCTCCAGAGAAAGAGGAGCCCAACGAGGGAGAGACGGTGTGGAGGAGAGCACTCGCCACAGTGACATGCCGAACTTGTGTGGCAGAAGGCTCTGAATGGTGCGAGATACGAGGGCTTGAAGACAGGCGGGTCCCTCCAAGACCGCTTGTCTTCGTCAGTGGGCTGGACGTCTGCCCGATATGGATACTCGAGTGTCGATCGTCCAGAACATCGGGGTCACGCGATGGTATCAGGGCTGAGAAAGCAGCCCAAGGGACCTCGGAGAAATACCGCGGCCGTTTCTTCATGTCTGGAGTGCAAACAGCAGTGCGTTATGCACAAAATTGAAGGGTCGATGGTATTTCTTCATCTGTGTTGAGACAAGATATGCTATGATTGCGCGGCTACTAGCCACACTCGGTGCCACAGCGCGCCCATCCGAGCGACATTTGGGTTGATCACTGCACACTAAACCTCAAACACGCATCAACATTCAGGGGAAAGGGCCAGTCAGATGCGTCTGGCAGCCAACATCTCAGCTGGCCAAGGGTCAGCCCCTTTCGCCTACATCGATTGAGTTTGGCGGGCGGTTGAGTCAAAATTTCGGCTTCTGTTCGACGCCACACAAACGTCGATCACCTGCTGGATGTGGCATTGAGGGCGAGCCACATCTGCTTCGTCCAACCGAGGCGACCGGGCAGTTGCGTGGCTTCTGTGGCTGAGCAGACATGAAGCAGACTGTTTGCGCTGTCTGCGAGGGGTGCGAGATAGGTGTGGGAGATGTACGAGGTCTGACTGGCTCCAGCCTCATGCACTCGCCACAGCGAAGGAATGAGGAGGAAACAGTTGGCGGCTGTGTGTGGTGCAGTTCGTGTAGCGACATCTGCCGCCCAGGGGTGAGTGGTGATTTTGGTGTCCCGTTAGTGAGAAGTCACTTTCTATCAGCCGAGCAACAGCCGCGCTTATTGGGCGAGCCCCCCTATACGCATCCAGACTCCTGGGATCGCCGAGGATAGGGGTACCACGAGGCGGCGGGAAGCAAGGTGGAGGGGTCCCATCAGAGGAGGAGAGACGCCTCGACCGAGCCACCGAGCGGGCCTTCTCATCAAGGTGAAGACGATAAAGAGGCGACGAGGCCCCGGATCGTGGTCAGCTCACGGTGATCTGGTCAACGAACTGCGTTTATACCCACGGCACATCTATCCTTCACTTACGAAGAGGTCTCTCTCATTTCTATTTCCTCCCAAGTTCTTTTTCGATGTGCTCACCAGGGCGAGGAGGGTTCCCGCCCTTCTTCAACTCACACGCCTCCTCCACCACTCCAGCCACAGTTGAATCTAGGTTTCTCTGCTCAGTAGCGGGAGCAGCTCCCGCTGGAACGTTGACGGTGAGCCAATGGCGATCGCGAAGACGGCCTGTCGCTTTCCTGATGCGGTAGTCTGATGGCGCTTGCCACACCCCGACGGAGAAGTCTCTGTGAGGGGACATCGCGAGAAGGAGGAGTGGCGGTGTCTACTGTTTCTTCTGCCCTCCCGGGACGTGGGGGTCGAGTGAGGGAGCGCCGCGAGGCGAGGAGGGGTTAGGGCCGCACAGGTTTGTGGTGTTCCCTACCCCATTGCTGCCGTCCGGCCTATCTCCCGCGAGTTGAGGGGATTCCCCTTGCAAATCGAGCAGCCAAGATGGCGATCTTGCCGACATTTTGAGGTTTCCGCCTGCAGGAGGGCCTAATGTGGCAACCACCCGCAGCCACGAGCCTCTCAGAAGCTCTTCAGGGCGTTGAGTCCCCTCCACCACCAAAAGGGTGAGGACCCTGAGATCGCTGCAGAGCAGCAACGGCAGCGTTTACACTAGCTCGTCGAAGAGGAAGCGAGGGGGCAAGATGCCGCCACGCGAAGATTTCACGATCTGCAGGAGAAGCAGCATGTTCTCGTGGTTTGCGGTGCCAGATTGAGGCATTCTGGCCAACCAGCACTGCTGACAGGCCAGATTTTCATGATCTGCGACCGCCTTCACCGTGGCTACGACGGTGATGTGGCCATTTCAGGGCCAGGATCGGCACTGGTGAGCCATTTCAGGCACACGTGCGGTGCAGTGTCAGTCTGTATAGGGCTGAGATGGGCAATTTTGCTTTCCCCTCTGTCTGGCTGCTTTGCCTGCCGTCTGCCGTTGGGAAAACCGCGTGCGCACGTTTTTGGTGGCGAAGATCGACGGCCCGAGGTTCACCATGGGCCCATGATCTACTGGGGAAGTGACAGATGTCGAGCGGTTTGGAGCGGTTGAGCGTTTCAAAAGGTTGGGGCGAAAGGGTAGGGATTTTCCCATCTGTTGTGGCTGCCCGTTCGATGACGGTAAAGATTTGCGACGAAGGTGAAGCGGGGAAATGCTTTTTTTGAGTGGTTTTTACGGGACTTTTCGGTTTTCCATGGGATTTCCTGCATCTCCGTCGCTGCAGAAAGTTCTGCAGCTCTCCGATGTTTTTTTTCCCTCATCGCGCGAACTTTCATGGTGCACACAATGCGTGCATTCGGCCCTTTTCATTATTCCCAAAAGTTTTATTTCGTTCCAAGCTCATTTACCTCTTTTTGCCGCTTTTTGGTTTTGATGGGCTATACGAAGGCGGAGGGATGGGTTGGGGTTACCTTTCAGGTGAGAGGAGGCGATGGTGATCGGCGGTGATCGGCTGTACGTCATTACTGCTTTCTGTCTGACGCCGTTTGAGAGTAGGGAAACCGGGGAAAGGTGTTTGCCATGGGACTCTTTGGCAGATAGTTTTAATCCAAGGTGTTTCTTCCCGACTGCTGTTCTTTCTCTCCTACATTTGCACTGCGTGATTCGATTTCGACGGCTTTTGACGGACGCCTTTTGCTGCGGTTGGGGTTTCGGATGGATGGGAGGAGAGAGGAGGACGATGGCTCCGAATTTCGACATGGCTTCGACGACGAGGCGACGCAGATGAATGGAAGAGGAGGCTTTTGAAGGAGATGGAAGTGATGGAGGGACGATGCGGGAGGTGGAGTAGGGGATCACGACACCATCGATTCGAGGACGAGGAGAAAGGATGCGACATCACATGATTACGATACACGACGCGAGCGACTGGCGACGGTTCTACATTGGTGAAGAGCATTTTGATGGATGCCTGGACGATGGTGCTTGATGGATGGGCGTTGGTGGATGGGGATAGTCGGCCGTGATGCTGCGAAGGATGGATGGCTCGGAGGGATTGTCGACCGCGCGATTCGATTGATGAACGCAACATGAGCATGGAGTTACATCATCTGGGATGGTGGAAGAGGGCGGTACTGGATGCTGTGCTATTACCGACGCATTGACGACATCTGGCTTCTGATGAATGGTTGCTTCGACTAGTCTCCGGCTCGAGATGACGCTTCCAAGTGGACGCAATCCTTGACATAGGCATTCAAGATGGCGTGGGAGAGTCGGCCGACTGCGAGGCATCGTAGAGGCTCTAGTCTGTCCGTGGAATGGTAGGTGGCTTGTTTCTTTTCGGTCAAGAGGGGCAGCTGCTCATGTGGCTGGCGTGTGATGCGAGTTTCTCGTGTCTAGTCCATCGACTCTTGTTCATCACCAAGCACGTTCCGTCTTTGGAGTTTGTCCTGTTGACACTACAGTCAACTTTACTCCGGCATGTGTAGCAAATCCTATGCCAGGTCTCTTTAGAGAAGTCACCCAGGGCCTATGGCGCGAGCTCTGCGAAGCCCAGGCCGCGGTCGCCGTCGAGTAGCAGTGCTGCTCGCTTTCTGGACTGGTATGGGCGTCTTGATAATGCTTGAGGGTGGCACGTTTGACTTTGGAATGCACCACTCTTGAAGGTGACGGAGACAGCATAGGCGTGGTTTCTCTAGGCGTTTTATGCTTGCTCTGGTTCATCCCCTAATGTCCTATCTGTTGATTTCGAGGTCAGGTCAGCTTTGTTCAAGGTTTAGCTAGAGCTTGATGTCAGAAGCGATGACTGTTTGCAAAGGTGTCGACCAACGTGATTGGGTTTGACCGCCATGAAGGTGGCGGGCCATGTGCCATAAAAGCTCTCAATGTCCACCGGATGTGCCCTTTGCTGGTTGCAAAAACACATCACAACGCATCACACCACACGCTTCTGAGGAATTCTCGCCATGGCCGCGCCTTCTAGCGCGTCCCAAGCCGTCAAGACGACGCGTTCAAGCATCGACGAAGTCTCCCAACCCCGACGAGTCCCGCACGAGATTTTCCTCGCCATACTTGACGAATTGATTGCGGTCTTCGAGGCTTCAATGGAACGTGCATGCTGGATTCTCACAGCCGAGTCTCCATACATTTCAAGTTTGGCATGTCAACCAAACTTCGTGCGACAGCAGAGACACCGACTTGCATGCTTCACGAGGATTGCGCTGATCAGCAAAGACGCACAAGCGCACGCCAATCGAAACTTTGGCCGTCGTTTTCAAATCTGGGCAGTGCTTCAGAAGCTCAGGAAAGAGATGTCTTGCCACATACTGACCCTGCCCAGAATCGACGAGTTTTCAATGCACTATAACCATTTTTACTATATAAAGGGCGGGGTTCCGTGGACGCCTGATCTGCGGTGTAGGACGTCGTTGCTGCCCCATATCGAGACGCTGAATATCCCGTATATCTTGTCGCCTGACAGATTCGCGCGCATCTTGTCCGACTTTTTTGACGTCAAACTCCTCCGGACCTTTTACGAGCGTCGAGATAGATTAGTCTCAATGTGGGAAGAGGAGGAAAACCTCTGCTCCCACGGCAATCTTCTGCCCGCCAACGAAAAAGTCCTCCCAATCTTGCAGGCGGGTTCCCCCAGTAGGCAGAGTATCGAGAAGGCGCTGGACCGGGGCACTCGCGTCATCCTCGAGGGTTATATTGGCAGGAATGATGTCGAGGTGTTTTCCACGCAGAAGGGCCTTCGGGTGAAATTTTCCCACTCCGAGTTCGAGTGCGCCTGCGACGCGACTCGCCGTGATTGGTTAGAGAGAAGGAGATACCTATTAGGTTCAGAGCGCTGTCTGTTCCCAGGCTGAAAGACGTGCGAGAGCTGGTTTGTGGACATGGGTATACGCGGCTGTTGCCTGCACAACGAGCTGACCTGGTCTTGCCATGGGTGCTCAAGGTTTATAGATGCGCATCTTGCTTTAGATGATGGTGCGACGGGAAATCGAGACGCAACGTGCCAACTTAGGTTACGGGGTACTTCTCCAGGCCTCAGAACATTTGGCGAGCCTCTCAGTTTCTGGTCATGTGGCACCTAGTTTCGTAGATATTGGGATAAACGGAATATGTGACATTTTATTTCCTTGTTTTTGACGTCTAGTTTGATCTCGCTCTTCTTTTAGTGTCACATTAGCCCCCAGACTTGGACTGATGTCCACTATGGCACTACTTCTTTTCCAGGCCTCTCGACGTAGTCGAGCACACCTTGGCCGTAGTCAGCCTTCGGATCATAGCCGGGAAGAAAAGGCGAATCTATTTAAGAAATGGTTAAGTTTCTTTCCAAAGCCAGCTCCTGCGGGGTGTTGCAATTCCAAGTTGTTTCCAACACCTCATCTGGGGCCGACTGGACGACACGTCGAGAATTTGGACATCTTCTCGGCCTTGGAAAACCTCTGTTGACCGGCTACCGTTGTTCTGATGATATTCTCATGCTAGGTATGCAGTACCAACAGGGTGTTGTGTATTAAGGTGGCCTGTCAGGCGACTGGCCTTAACTACCAAGCAGTTCTGAAGTAAACCCAAACGCCAAGTGTAGCTCATAAAGCCCTAGTGCTGGTCAGGGATGATGCACACAAAGCGCTTTGTCTTCCGCCGCAGGACCTTTGTTGTCTTGTCGCACAGTCCTTGCCGTCTGCGCGTTGCACACTGCTTCGTGAATTCTGTCCCTTCATATCTGCGCTGAGAACTCCCAAATCATTGTCATTATCGTCATTATCATCGTTGTAGTTATTATAGACCTGGCGTGTGATGTTAGCGGAACTCCAAATCTGTGTGGAAACGAAGATTTACCTGATTGCATTGTAATCCCAGGCTTGAACGCTTGCTAGCGGCAATTGCTGTCCGTTGCTTGATGTTGTTGTCATGTTCTTAGACTGTATCGAAGATGGCGGTGTCGCTCGAATAAAAGGTGTTGGCCTTCACGCCAGCTGTCCAGATGATATCGAAGAATGGGGGGATCTTGGTTGGGTCGGCAAATGAGTCCCTGGTAAGGGGAGACAGATCATCGTCGATGTACTCAGCGGAGATGAGATCCCTCCTCTTTGGGATTCCAATGAGAACTCTCCGTAGGTTGGGAAAGAGCTGCAAGAACCTTTTGACGTCGTCGTCTCCGATTGCCCCTTTTAGGACCTTGATCGACTTCAGGCTATCGAGATGGACCTCCTGAATAGTCCCAAATATCTGCGTTTCGAATGCAGGCATATCGACCAGTGCGCCGAGTACAGACCACCAGAAGGTCAAGTCCCTTCCAAACAGAAAGGTGTCTCCTGTGGCAATCCATGCCAATCCCAGATCCTCGAACGAGCCGGATGAGCGTGAGGCAGCCCCTGGGAATGGGGCAAAGTGTTTGAACACCTCCCTCCTCAGGGTAACGTCAACCTGCGAGATCATTCGCAGAGGACGGAATGGCGTTCCCCGCCTCCCCGCCAAGTCCTCTTTGGACTCGGGGTAGATGATGTTGTCCGACGAAGATCCGTTCCAACTTTGGCGCACTCCCAACTTCCACCTGACCCCACCGTGTGTGCAATCGTTCCCGGTGATGGCGGCGTAGACATCCCCAATGACATACTGAGCAATGTGCAGGACAAGCTCATATGGCAAATGGGGGAGGGGAGCAGACGCCGCGGTAGTGGGACTGGCTGCCATCTTTAATGTATTGTGTGCTGTTGTGCTGGGGTGTTGGGCAAAGGGATTGTGCAAGAAAGAAATGTTGTGACAAGAAAAAGGACTTTTTGTTCTCCCCCCCCTGAGAGAAAGCAGATTGTGTAGAAGTTGAAATAGAGAAAAAGAAAGTTAGAGGATGTGAGACTTCTTTAATGTGTTTTGTTCGTCTGAAGTACGTTCCGTGGGCTGCCAATTCACTGTGTAGAAGGTGAAATTGACGGCGTCGGCTGACCTAGCGATAGGTGAATTAAATTAAATGTGAGAAAAGGAAGCATCGAAGATTGAACGAAAAGCGGGTAGCAAGGTAGGTTGTCAGGTATCTTGAAAAGTTTGCCCATCTACAGGTAAATACTTCCCCCTTGCGACACAGAATTCACTGCACCTACGTCGCCGCTGGGGTCAGTGGATACGCGGATAGCAAAGAGCACAATGTTCATCGATAGATGTCCCTACACGATCTTGATAACTACTCAACCGTTGAAAGCTCTATCTCCAACGCTTCTGGCGAGTCAGTGATATATAAGTTCGCTTCAGAGGCTCACAGCTGGACATCATATTGGTGTGCCCTGCTATCAAAGACGACTCATCTGGAGGTTGAATACCATGAAACCGGGCTGGAATTGACAGAGATTCAAGGCCCGCGTTAGAAGCAGATCAGGGCCGAAGGTCTATGTATCCTACAATGAATTGAGAATACTCGTGGGCTCTCTGATCCACAGCCAGAAAGATCCATCATGATAAAACCTTATCGTCGAAAGGGTTTTCAAAGCCAGGGTACTTCAAACCGTCGGAGCCAAGCCAATGATTCAGTATCACGCCCTTTTCGTTGTCTACATGATGTGACAACGACACTGGACGTCAGGCGTCAGTCGGAGTCAAAGGTCTCTCCCGCTGCCATTCACATTTCGAGCCTGTTTTCAATTTGGCCTTTCCCGGTTCTCTCGTCAGAGTAAACTGGCATATATAATATAATGCAGTTTACTTGTACGTCAGCGAAAATCGTGTGCACACATGTTCAGGAACGGTTTGCGAGAGTAGGTGGTCTTCAACGGGCCGATGCTCATCGACTCGACATGATGCAGTTGCATAACAAAACAAAAAGCTTCTGGAAAGGTAACCTTCCTGTAAATGAGAGACTTCAGGGGAATGGAGCTGAAAATTCGTGCAATTAAGTACAGAGAAGTGATGTGTGGCAGCATGATCCGGCGGTTAAGTCGCCAACATACATGGGGTCTTAATGTTCCTAAGAAAAAGGATCCAATCTTCTTATCAGCAGACTTCCGTCACTACTGCTTTTCGAGCCAAAGCCAGCACCATCCTGATGACGAAACAGCTGAACGTTGCGTCGAAACAAGTAGTTTTTGTAATAGCCGGTGAGGTAGAAGGCGACCTTTCGTTCCCAGATAGGCGCCCATGAAGGGCCGCTTAGTTTAAAACCTGATGGTAACTTCATCAATGATTTCTCGTCGATGACGGAAACGTTTTCGTGTTGACAGTGATGATTCCTTGGAATGTGGGCGTTCGTATTGACACCAAAGTATGAAATGAGCGTCACGGACTTGAGCGCTGGCAATGCCGTGAGGATTTCGATGATTTCAGGGAACATGGTGAAACACGCCTCGACAGGATTCACAACAACATGCTCAATGAAGTGAAGGGCGGGAGAGTATCGGAGAGAGCGGAGAAAGGATAGGGGGAAAATGATCTGAAATGCATCGACTCGAGGACACATCCATATGTAGGTCACGCCGCACTCAAATGTTGTGATTGGAAGCTGAACAAGTGCAGACGCAACCATGCGACGTGTCTTGCGGTCAATCTGGTGGAAATTGCGGACGAGGTCAAGCCGATGAGATATGTCGGCTTGACGGATAAACTGATGCTTGCCGAGCAAGATCTTGTGCTTTCGGTGGATCTCATCCCTAGCATCGGGCTCTTGGATGCTCAGGCTCAGGGGATGTTCTGTGGCGTCTGATATGGCATCAACGATAAGACTCTCAACGACTTGGAGAAATATCTCGTATGGAAGGTGAGGAATGGGAAGGCCGTTGAGATGCATGGTAGCCACGTCTGCCCCTAGCTGTGAGACGTCGACAGCCATACTGGATCTGGGCGTTGAATCTGACTGTTGAACTGCATCCGGTGTTATTTGTGTCCAACAGAGTGGGAGGAGACTGGGTGTTTTATAGAGGGAATGCCGCAGTCAAGGGCGCTGCCTTGAATGAACAAAGGTCAAAGAAGACTGTGCAGGCGGGTGCTGACCCTGGTTCGTTTATAACCAGCTTCCTGACTCTTTCCTTTCACATTAATAGTTCCATATTGAAGCGTCTTTCAACAGCTCCGCTCCCCTTGTTCACGCTTGATGTCAGACATCGAGGCCCTCGTCCAACAAGCAACCGGTGTTGAGTCCTGCCCTCCCGCAAATCCCACAATCTCTCCGCCTGAGGGAGGAAAAAGATTTTCTCCCAAGCCAATCGACGAAAACTTGTTCTCGTCAACATCACCAGCATCGCCAACATGAGCGAAAACTCGCCTTCGTTGGGCAACGCCTTCGCGGCCATGAGCCTCCGCGATGACAATGACAGGTACGTGATCTCTGGTTTCTCATGTTAATTTCAGTCGTCGATTCAGTGGTGGCTTTCCTGGTCGCCGGGATTGCGTTGGAGAGTCCTCAAAAATCCCAGCCGGGAAGGAGTGCTGACGAAGTCACAGCATCACTGCCAGCGAGAAGAAGCAGCAGTTCCCCAAGATTCCCTACGAGGTCGCTCTTCTCATCTGTGAGAGCCTTGTCGATATCGCTTATGCCAAAGCCTGCCAGGAGCCCATGACTTGGCAAATCACGGCTCCGAAGGCGGACGCCTCGTCTGCTCCGCTCTACGTTGTCACCGACAAGCACCGTCAGCGTCCCGAGCCAGACATGAAGAGACGCTTCCAGATCTTCAAGGACATTCGCCAGGTCAACCGCAAGACTCGCATAATGGTCGATAAGGCCTTCCCCCGTGCTATCATGTACCACCAGCGCGACTGGGGCGACACCAACGACCATGACGTCAAGGAGGAGATGTGGCCTCCCATCTGGATCTGCCCCGACGCCGACATCTGGAAATTCAGACTGACGCACCCGCGCCTGGCCGCCGATCAGTTCAACCGCGCCCTCGGAGCCTTCTGGTCCCCCGACCTCACGCCCGAGTCGAAGGAGATCGTGAAGCACATTCAGACGTTGAAGGTCCGAAACCTCAATTTCCTGATCAACAGATTCGAGGCCCAGTGGGAGCTGGCGGCTCTGCCGAACCTCAAGAAGATCCATATGATTACCAGCTGCTTTTGGCCCCCCACCATGGCGAGCGCCGACCTGCAGTATCTCTGGCCCATCGACCAAGGCGCGGTCTCGTTCCCCCACTTCCCCCACTTCTCTTCAGCCCAACTCAACCACGTGTTCGGTAAGCTGTGGGAGAAAGGAGTCAAGATTACCATGGTTGACAGATTCCCGACTGTTTCCAGTGTCGTCCTGGAGATGATTGAGACTCGTTATGGTGTCCATGTACGTCGCCTTCCTTGATCACAATGACCGACGCCGTCGCCCTCGATGCCCGCGACGTTTTGGTCTCTTTTCGCCAAGCTAACTTTGTTCGAGCGAGCTCCATGAGGAGAGATTGGAATGATATGGAGGAATGCACGTGGAGTTGCAGGACTGGTGGATAGGTCGCGGGTAGGCGAAATGAGGCTACAAGACGTGTGACAAGGGCGATGCAAGGGCAAGAAGGAATGCTATCAGATCAACAGAATGAAACACAGGAAGACGAAGACGTCTTTATATTGTGCTAAGCTGTTTCTCTCCTCGCTGAAGCGCCGAATTATGCGGAATACAAGAGGTAGACTGGCAGAAGGGGCAAGTCATGACCTTGAAGGACAAGGTCGACGTAAGCTAGTCATTATCCTGAAATAAACCTTCAAGATGCACCTCTGAAATATCAATTTTGAAGGGTTGTTCACGAACATGGACAACGGTAATTTGAAACTTCAACTTGAATTCGCCTTCGCGGATTGCGTCGACCAAGCCGAAGCACTGGGTGCAAACTCACTAAACTTCCCGAATTGATTCTCGACTAAACTATGAACGTCTATCAAATGCCAATCAGTCATATTACTCCCTCTCTCAACGGCAGCGGATGTAGTCGTTGCTTGACATGTCCCTGGGCAACGAAATATACCACTGAGACCCGAAGCCCATCTCCTCCATCATCCGCTTCCTCTCCGTCTCAACCGGATCCAGGTAACAACGGCATACCTGGTCGGTGAATCGAATCATCAGGCCCTCGGGCGTTTGCGCGAGCTCATTGCGAGCTATTATGTCCTCTTCTTCCAAATCCGAATCCCCGGTCAGCTCAAATCTCACACCACGCTTGAGTAGCTTTCCCCAAAAGTGGTCCAAACCGCTTGGGTCTCGCTCTGCAGCCATCGCCGCGTGTGGATACATCGATTCATCGATTGGAATCAGTTTCCCGTGGCGGTGGCGGTCCTCTGAGTTCTCCGGTAGTGGCGGAAAGCGCCTGGCGTCCCCGTCCCCGTAAGCCCCGCAAGAGGCTTGGATGAGCTCAAGCGCAGGAAGAGATTCAATGCAGCGGATCTCCTCTGGGCAATAATAATGCAGCATCCTTTTGATGCCATTGATTCTGATGATCCTCACGTGCTGAAGCAGAGCGGCAGCAGCAGGCTTTGGATTGAGATAGACCTCTCGCGTTGCTAACATTTCGTTAAATCTGTACAGTCTGCCGTCCACATCATTTATGTAGTCTCTCGGCTGAACTGGGTCCCAGTCCAGAGACTGGTCTCTCAAAGTCGGCAGGTGGAACACGTCGATGCTGGGACATACCCAGGCGTACCCAGGGTCGGTGCGGCCCATTCTCCGAACGCCGCACAAGGGAAACCTGGGGAGGCTATTTTCAACAATCCGGCGGGAGTCGCGGTTGATTTGGGTGGCGCTTCTGAAGAGAGCATAACGGTCTTTATGTCTGTTTAGATGCCTTATGAAATATGGGATCGGAGACAGATGAATATAACAAATGGATGACTCCCATGTGTGGCAGTCGAGGAACCAATGTGCCGAGGTAGTCACAGCCAAGGCATTGTCAACCATGGCTTCGATTATGAGGAGGAAGATTTCGTAAGGGGGGATAGTGTTTGGTTGGATATCGTTCTGTGGAGCTCTTGATGTCTCCATTTGGCAGTCGTTTTCTGGTGGCTGCGACATGTTGAGCTTGAGATTTCCGGATGGTCTTATCTACGAGACGGATTGGCTTTGAATGAGATGCGAGCTTGAAGCTATGCAGTGTTTGAATTTGGGTGATGCCTGGCCAGATGATAGGTTCATGAAGGCGTAACAAGGGAAGTCCTTTTATATTCTAGCCTGACAGTGATCAAATCACAGCATCGTCGATGGAACCACGACACCCGTACGGTGAATGTCGGCAAAAAGGACCCAACGGAAAGAGATGAAAAAAAGGAAACCTGATTTACTACAACGTAAGTTCCATATGCGAGTTATCTGACGCGGTACCGTTGTGTTCTGCTTTCCAATCACTGATCTTCCTAATAAAATACGGTTGAAGTTCATAGTTATTCTCCAGACTTGGGCACGAGAGGAGCTACTCCTTTCTCTTATTCGTCGTCTTGTGTTTCAAAAGGATTGCTTGACGCGCTCTTGCGGCCGCAAGAGCTGTGGGAACTCCTTTGCGATGCCAGAATCCGCGATATCGGCTAAAAATGAACAGCACCGCAGCATTCTCTCCAGCCTGAACCAATCAAGGTCGGGGCCGACGCGTGCCGCAACTTGCGCGAAGAAAATGCAATTTCATTCTTCGTTGAAATGCCTACTGAAGCATGGGTCATGCATAAACAAGTGGAAGCATCAATTGACTTATGTCCTGCCTCGATGGTCGATTTGAAGAATGTTGCGAAGCAACTCAGAACAACTTTCACATCTTAAGGTAGATTGGAGCCGGCAAAGAGCAGGCTCGTCGATATTTGTGGCACCAACCTAGAAGTGGCCCTTGACGACACTATCCGAGAGACAATCATAAGGTGACGATGCATATCTTCTCGCCGCATGTGTGACCTGGACGGTGGAGGTACCAGAGGTAGCCGGCAGGGTCTTCAGCGCAAACAGCGGAACGGCAACACCAAGGTGCGCAGAGAGTTAATCGCAGAAGGTGAGTGGTCCCCTCTACTAATTTCTGACAACCCATGAATATACAAGATTCTGTCACATTCGTCGTCGTCTCTGGCTTCGTTGTCGGTCACTTGCGCTGTTGTCGGCCTCTAGTATGGTCGCCGGTCTCAGGCATGGTCGTTGGTCTCTAGCGTGGTCGCCTTTCTCCAAGGCACCTTCTCCATTCTGCCCTTCTTCTCTCCTTCCCCCTGAAGTGCCTCCTGCCTCGACTCTCCAAGAATCTCAACCTCTGGGATATAAATAGAGCTGCGGCACATCACATTCGCACACAAACTTCTTTCCTCGAACTACACCATCTTGCTTCACATTCTACTTCAAACGAGCACTGAGCGAGGGCGCAAAGGTTGGGCCCCACGAACACTCAAATTCCTATCGTTTCTACGATACAACTTTTGCTACAAGACCCATCTCTGAATCGAGCCTCCTACACTGAAACGAATGAAAGGACCTCTCTTCGTCCATCCAAAGTCTTCTTTGTGAACTTCAGCCCCCCACACCACAAGCTGACCTCACATTCATCGCGCCTGCCGCTCCAGATAATCACACTATCGAACGATCTCTTTCAGTCACCGCGCCAAATTTTCACCGCTGTTATCTTCACTCACATTCTTTTCATTACAGCACATCTCAGTCATCATACACCAACCCACCTCTCATCAGATCGACCTTCACAATGGCCACTGCCACAGGAACCCCTCCCTCGTCCATCTCCACGATCTTCAGAAAACTCCCTTATGAGCTAATTCTCATAATCGCTGACGAGCTTATTTCGTCTACCACATCAAGCCTGCAGCCTCAACACTTCGAATTCTACAGCCACGCACAGACGCTTCAAGTTGTTCGTCGCGTCTTCTGTTCTAGAGGGCGGGGAGACTCTGTGGCTTTGGCAAAAGAGCGATACCTTCATATTCGCACTGTCCTCCAAATCAACCAAAGAATACGAAGGGCTGCTCGCAAAGCCTACCTACCTCTCGCAGAGAACAACCAGAAGGAATGGGTTTGCCTTGAGAAGGACGTCTTTGTCCTCGACAAACACATGCTGCAGCCAGCTGAAACCTTTCAGCACCTGACGCCTCACAATCTTCATGTCCTTCAGAACTTGCGGAACATCGTTCTCGCACCCTACGACGCCCACTTCTTGAGAACTGGAGTTGGCTCCCGTGGCCTCCGACTGATGGGGAGTGTGACTTCCATCGGCCTCATCAATGCTGCTTTCGAAGGGCTTGCTGACGCCCGAAAGCGTCGTCTCGAGGACGGCAACCCTCTCAGCCTAGTCCCGCTGTCGGAGGTCATACAAGATGCGCACCCGTCAGTTAGTGGAATACCTTCTTTGAGGGAGTTGGACACTTCTCTTTCACACGTCCTGGGAAGATTGAAGAGCAAGAACGTCAGCATCTTCATACAACTGCGGTGCCACGACATATTCGAACAACGGAACAAGGAGAACAGCTTTGAGATAATCAGCTGCCCCGATGATATCAAAGTATGGTTATCATAGGCTGTGGATGGGGGTCTGGAATTTCAAGTGGTGGATAGGGCGCTTTTACAGACTACAGACCGGTAGGTTCCGGAACAGCGAGCGGTGGTTAGGGGGGAGTTTCATTGCATTTTCTAGCTTTTCATTTTCGATCGCACACTTGGGACATTAGAGCATAACAGACATCAGAAGCACATATCACGGTTATAGTACTGGTCTTTTCTTTTGTTGAGCCGCTGCACAATGTTGTTTCTTGTGTTTGACGTCCTCCTTGCTGTGTAGAGCTCCTCATTTGGCCAAAAGCACTTTCTTCTTCCACATCCATTAATCAGCCAAGCGCGACGATAAGCCACCAGAAGACACAGTCGAAATCTGCCTCCCTTCCTTCTCTCTTCAACGCTAGGTCTGAACCATAAACTTGCCCGGGCACCACTCGCTAGGGAGCAGCTTCATGGCGACGCCATCCTTGGTACCGACAATCTCGATGAGCAAACTCTCAACTTCACCGCGGAAGCCGTAGACGCGGACGCCCTTCTTCTTCAAGGGCCGGAAGACAGCGTTGAACCCAGCCCCATGGGTGACGTTCCAGATCGCCAGGGCGGGGAACATCTCATAGTCGATGGGCATAGGACCCTCCTTCAAGTCGCGTCCTCGGCAGGGAGGCTGGAAGCTTCTGACGTCCATGATGACGTCCTTCAGATTCGGCAGGGTCGAGAGAGCCGCGACGCTAGAGGCGTTGTCATCGGACCAGAAGCACGACGAGGGCGTGGCAACGCGCTGGATGGACTGGATCAGGGCGGCGGCCGGCGGGGTCGGAAGCATCATGGCCTGTCTGAAGTACTCCTCCTCCTCAATGGGGAAGGAGTCCGGATCGGCGGCAAAGCAGGGGATGAAGACGTCGTTCTCGGGACGGATCCAGACGTCGACGGGCATCTGGTGATTGTGGGAAGGGGCGCGGATGAACTTGCGATGAACCATGGCGCGTGTGGCCTGGTTGATCTGCGAGGGCAGGCGGATGCGGTCGAAGCGATTTTGCAAGTTGGGGCGTTGGCGGAGGCGGGGCAGCTCATCCCAGACAGCAAGCTTGGTAGGGGAGGCGAAATCGTAGTAGAGGGTCCACACCTTGACGAGTGTGCAGGCCTCGGCCTCGGTGATGAGGATGTCGACGATGTTGAGAAAGACATCGTAGGGTAGGGAAGCTGGACCGGCTTTGCCGCGGGCTGTCTTCTGGAGAGACATGGTTGTGGCAATTTCGCTCTTGCTGAGTTGAGGTGGAAGAGCAAACATCTGATTTTTGGTTTTAGAAAAACAAGAGAAAAACGTGGAGAGGTGACTGGCAAACGGAGGCAAGATGGAGGGTGGGAGCCTTGAGATGCTGCCTCGACTTCTCGAGTACTGTGGATGCTCGCCTTGGTTGGCGCAGGTGAATGTGAGAGGTGAAGCGCAGCAGCGACGGCACCGAAACTTCTTTGAAAGAAGCTCCCTGCTGTGGCTGTCTCGATTTAGAAGTGCCTAGGCAGGTGAGTGGAATTTATTAGATTTGAGATTTAAAAAGCAATCGCTTTCTTTTTTTTCTTGTTTGTGGGAGTCTAGTTTGTTTGCTTCGTTGGCGATGCACCTTCCCGGTAACGGCTCCATCGATGCCATGGACTTGGATGGAATCATGGTGAAAACTCGGTCTGCAGGCATCCTAGACCCATTACTCATTGCGGATGATATTAGAAAAAAAAAAAAGCAAGCCATTTTTCCGCGACAGTTTTGAAAAGTTCATTCTTTCTTTCTCCCAACCTCATCGAGGGTCAAACACCATCCCCAAACATCGCAACCATGGCACCCGAGATGTCGAGCAAACGCGGCGTTCCATACGAGATCTTCCTCGGCATCATCGATATGCTCATCTCTGAAGCCGCAGCGCATGCAAATCCTTACAAGTTCTCGCTCACATACATGTACGAGTCCCCAACCAAAATCGCAATCAACCCATTTCCGCCTCCTCTATCTCCTAATGCCTCGATTGGCCCGGAGGAAATCACGAGAGAACGCTTTTATGACATTCGTCTGGCTTCCCAGATCAACCGCAAGACACGAGGCCTAGTTCACAAGACCTTCCGCCGAATTCCGATGGACCCCTACCCCTTCATCAACGCCTGGATTCTTCCTGAAATCGACGACTTCATCCCGCTCAACTTGAGAGACATCGAATACGATTACCTTGACCAAGGGTACGATCAAGCAATCTTCCTGCCTACTCCATCGGGACACATCGCGCTTGAAGCCATCCAGCGCATCAATCTTCCTGCCTGGGAATATTTCAAACCTTCAAACGCCATCCGTGTGGCCACACTTCTCGCCCTTCCCAACCTGAAGCAGATCTCGGTTGAAATTGGCGGTATCGATCCTCAACAAGGCTTCGGAAATGTCCACCATGGAATCAGACCACTTGATGAGAAGAGGTTTTACTCGCTCGCCAAGTGGATGCGGGACGTCCCCCAACTTCGAGGTTTGTGGGCCCCTTTCAAAAAGAAGGGTGTGAAGCTGTACGCGGAAACAAGTTTCACCGGCATCATGCTCCTGGAGCTATATCCCGCCAAGAAGAAGATGAATGCTCGATACCTGCGACCGAACTGCGACTGCGATGAGTGCAGGGCCATCCAGCAAACGGCGCCTTGAAGATGGGGAAGACCGATGGGGTTGCGGCCAAGTCGTGCCACTAAACTTGAAGATGAGAAGACTTAGGATTCCAGGGTCAACGAGGGCATCCACAGGGGAAGGATAGGGCAATGAGGTGGTGTTTTTGGCTTTGGTATGGACATGGATCGGATGGATCCCCATATGTACAGGCGTGGATTTTCTGACTCTCAGAATGTCCATCTGGGTGAATATGAATCTCAGCATTAGCTTCTCGCGTTGAAGGCGCGAGGGATCCAGACGCTCCTTCCTCCAAATCGCACAAAACCCATCTCGTAAACCTTTTCTTTGTCAGACCGGCATCCTGTGTTTATCTAATCGATAAGCGTCAAGCATTTCCACTAGAAGTGAATATCTTCGGATCATTCCTTCTAGCAGCCCACCTTACTTGCCTGCGCCTCCTACCTTCTCTCCACCTTCAGACTGCATCTCCGGTTTGTCAACCATATTCTGGTTATCGGTAGGCGTTGTTTATCAGCCTGCTGCCTTCGTCTGTTGTCCTCGTCTCTGTCCCTGCTCCTGGCTCTGGGTGCCGTCGCTGTCGCTTGGTGTCGTCGCACTCGTCCTCGTCTCTCACCCTCGTCTGCCACTCTTGTTCGCCGTCTCCGTCTCCCCTCCTTCTGAAAACCTGCCTGACCTGCTTAGGGAATTTCAGATGCCTTCATCTGTCATTTGAAATTTCTCGCTTCTTTGCACCGACAGATCTGAACAAGGCTTTCTGCTCACATCATCGCCGCCATCGCCATCAGAATTGTCGTCGTCGTCGTTCGTCGTCGTCGTTACCTACCGCTTTTACTGCCCTTCGCTGCAGCCCTGCGAAATCTCACCCACCATGGTTCCCCAGTCAAAGTCGTCGTCCTCCGTCCTTCCGTATGAGGTGTTCCTCAGTATAGTGGAGTTCCTCATCGCCGGTATCGAGGCAGAACAGTACGGCGAGATTGCATGGACCTATTATCGACATGATTTGCCCTGCAAGCTTGTTGTGGGCGATCTCCACCGAGGGGGCCCCTTTGTGGCTGCGATGAAAGAAAGACACCGAGATCCTCGACTGCCCTCGCAGATCAACCAAAGGAGCCGCAAGATGGTTTACCAGACCTTTCGACCGGTACCTATGTGTCGCCGTCTTGTCTCGAGCGGTGCTCTCGGCCACATCCTGCCCGTCAGCGCTCTCATCTTGCCAGAAGTCGACGCCTTCGTCCCACACCATGCTGTAGTCCGGCCCGATTCTTACTTCAGAGGGGGCTGCTTCTATCCGGCGTATCACCCACCCATCCCGAAGTCACACGCCACTCTCGACCTGATCCAAAGCATATACATTTCATCGATCTGCAGCCTCCGCGCTGACAAGTACGAGGGAAACGAGGCTCTGCTCGCCCTTCCCAATCTTAGACACATCATGGCCCTCATCGGCCCCGTCAGAAAGAACCTAGAAGATATCGAAACTCTCCACGGTGGACGTCGCTCTCTCGCCCTGGATTACCAGTTGTTCTCCGACTTGCAGTATTGGGACACGATGCCCAAGGGTCGGAACTTTTGCTCCATCTGGCGTAGATTTCAGGAGAAGGGCATCAAGCTTTACGGACTGATCGGATTATCCAAACATTCTCCCAAAAAGTGTATCATGGAGATCTTCCCCTCGGAGGATGGTACTATGGTCCAATATGTCAGTCCCAACTGTTCTTGCTGCCCGAGAACGCCCACATCGGAGAGAAGAAAGCTGGCGTCCAAGACGAGGTCGGCGCAGCTGGGCTGCTAGATTCTCAGACACACACAAGGCCAGAGAGAACCAGGGCTAGAGAAGCCGCACGGAGGGAGCAGACCTAGAGACAGGCCCGGAGAGAAATGAGGTAGATCAATGTTACAGAGAATCAGAGAAGGTCGGAGAATCAGCTCGAGGCCACTTTCTGGTCTCAGAGATAGAAAGCGCAAACAGAGCCGGAGAGGACCAAACCGGAGAGCAGGTCCAATGACAGAGGGAAAAAAAAGATATTAAAGTTTCGTTACTGGACAAGGAAGGAGAATAGAAACATAGAACAAATTCACATAAAGGAGCCTAGTCACGCTCATGAAATGTCAACGCGAACTATTGCCGCTGTCCGAGACGGCCCACACTCGAGGGAAGCAGCATGGTGGCCGAGTCCAGGGCCAAGCCGAGAAATTAGAGTTGCAAACAAAGTCAGAGCCAGGGAAATTCGGAGAATAGAGCAGGGAAGAACTTGATTGCGAAACCTGGGGCTAGACCGAGACAACCGACAGATATAAATGACAAAACAACAGGTTTGCAGTAAGGGGCAGAGACACAGACATATTGCAGTGACATAGAACAAAGTTAAGGAACGCAACCAAGTCACATTCAACTCAGCAACTTTCCCGAGGGTTGCATTCTCACCTACCAATAGTTTCAGACATGAACCACGGTCTTGGCATCGCGTGGTAGTGTAGTCGATGCCCACGCTCCCGTCCGGATCGGATCAGTAAATACTGTGGAAAGCTCCGCCTCCCGCTGCACCGAGCATCACACACGATAAATTCGGCCAAGCCGAGCATGACACCGACCGCTTGGCACTCCGAGGTTCTCTTGCGTTGCCGAGAGTGCCGGAGTCAGGCGACGAGGGCGATCTCAATAGCTCTGGTGCTCTTCATGACTCGGGCAGGGGTTAAAAATAATAGCATCGAGTTTGACCACGCAGTCTCATGCTCAAACTCTAAATTCCTCAACGACAGGCCTCGCGGCATGCTATGCAATAGAATCATCGCAACAGATTGATTGATCCCACCGGTGAGGTCCACAACAATCTATCCTTGCGGGAAGTGGAGGTGCTATGTAAGGCATATGGCAAGAAGCGACTCAATACAAAAGTCGGCGACATTTCTTCCCACGAGGACACCGCACCCTAGCCCACGCCCTTCTACATACCCCCCGAACAACTCTCTTTTATTGATTCTGCCGCAAAACTCTCTTCAAACGTCCAAAAAAGAAAACCACAAACACACACGATTCAACAACAATATGCGCTCCTTCGTTTTCGTCACGATCGCCGCCCTTGCCATCGGCCAGGCCGCAGCTCAGATGCCGGCTCGCGTCCAGCCTCTCGCACCCCGCCAGAGTGTCGAGTCTGACTGCAACACCGTGCCCGAGTGCGGCCAAGGCAACCTTGGGGCGACTTGCCAGGTGACCTGCATCGACAACGTAAGTTGAACACCGGCCTTCAGTTTTCTGGGTGAAAGAGGTTCTCGTCGCTGACATGTCTGGCCGGGGATGTAGCCTGGAGGCGAGCGCAAGCGCACCGGCACTTGCAAGGATGGCAATTTTGGCATCAGCTGCTACTAGGAGGCGTCAGGTCAAATTTGGCCTAGGTGTTGGACATCAGAGGTCTCTACTTTCGAATTAAGCATCGACATGTTGGGAGGATCAGCATGAATGTTATACATATATATATCCAGTGAGCGAACATTGTAGCAGCTGAGAATTGATTTCTTTCGGTTGCACAGGCGTGTTCTGCGAGTGTCGGGACCTGTCATTCTGGGAGGGCACTGACAAGAAGCTTCGTCCGTCCTATCCTTTTGCCGCAGGAGGTTCATCGCATGTCCGTACAACTTTACTCACGTGAGTCATTGTCAACTGCATGTCTCAACCCTGAATCGTGATACCGAAGATGATCTCAAATTCCTATGACTGCGTTCATCGTCTATTCAGATAGATGCCAAGAATGGCACAACCAGTCCGAGTCTTTTCCCCCAGATGCGAGCATCACATGATCTGTTCTTCCCGGTGAAAGCCCATTGTCCTCAGCTATCCCCTCCTGTGGTTCAAAGCGCGAGCGACTGAATCATCTCCAACGCCTCCTCCGCAATGGACTCATCCTGAGCCGGGCGAGGCTTGCCCGGGGGGTAGAGAATAGCCGTAAAGTCGCCTTCCTTAGGAATCAACTCCATCACCTTCTCAAAATCCGCATTCCCGGCTCCGTAGAGCTTGATGCCTCTCTTCTCGTAGGGGCGCCACGTCTTGTGCAGGGAGTAGGCCGTGCCGGTAGTCCACAGGTCCTGGAGGTCGGGAAACGTGTCCTGGTTGACCATGAATAGGCCGCTGTCGAGGTAAGCGTCCTCGAAGTGCTTCTTGTTGTACCGGCCGATGCTGACGAAGACGTCTCGAAGGTTAGGCAGCTTGGCAAAGTGCGCCATGATGTTGTGGTAGCTCTTGTTCAAGCACGCCAGGCTGGGAAGGTGGAGGTGCTGCACGTGCTGGAGCATGGCGTAGCCCGCAGGCGTGGGCTTGGAGATGGCTTGGACGAAGCCGGCGATATTCTCAGGCTCCACCAGCCGGGTGATCAAGGGCATCACCATGACCTTGTCGAGGTGGGGGACGACCCAGGCCTCCACGGGGGCGAGCGTGTCATTGTAAGGCAAGGCGAGCGGGACGCGAACGAAGTTTTTGTGCACGAGGGCGCGCGTCTTGGTGTTGACCTGGGAGGCGAGCATGATGGAGCGGAAGCGGGTCTTCAATGGATAAAGCGGCTGGTTTCTGGCCTCGTCTTCGTCTTGAGAGGGGATGAAGGCGAGCTTGGAGGGGACGCGATGCTGGTAGTACATCCAAAAGAAGAGGGACTCCTGGCAGGCTTCGGCCTTGGCGATGAGGGTGTCCACGACGAGAAGGAAGACTTCGTAGGGGACGGGGCCCCGACCGTTTTCGACGGGCTTGCTGAGGACAGGCATTCTGGCGGGTGTCAATGGCGTTGGCCCGAGTTGGAGGTAGGTTGGAGAAGAATTGTCTAGAGCGACTGAGTTAGAAGAAACACGCGACAATAGATTTTCAACGAAAGATCTGATCAAGAGACCGGATCGATGAGATGTGATAATAAACTCACCTGTCAGACCGAACAAGCTTCCTCGAGGAGCTATGGAGCTGGTGTTGCTGAAGCGAGGAAGACGCTTGGCCGGTTTTTGGCTGTGCGCGTTGAGAAGTATTTGCGCTTGTTAACTTGAGAGGTGGAGAAATTTTCTCGCTGGCGAAAAAGAGCAGCTTGTGCAAGTTCAAAGGGAAGGAACCAGAGGCCCAGTCTCATGAGCCTTCCCATTGAGATCAGTTTTCACCTTCATCTCTGAACAAACGGATTTGCCCAGGGCCGCACAAGTCAAGCAAACACACCTCCGTTTGACACCTCACATCATGGCGTAAAAGAAATAATATGCGCGCACCACATCCTTATTCAAAGGCCTTAATTAAAAAAAGAGCCCACATGCCATATGTGATATGGACTTCATGTCTGTCTAAGTTGTTGTGCTGCCTGGGATGCAAAATGCGTCTTGATTATTACACTTGCCCATATGTTCATGCCCCAGCCCCAGGTGCCCTCGATAGACCAATGTCCATGCTGGAGTCCGTACGTCTCCATGTTTCTTCCGGTCTCCCAATCATATGTCGCACGTGCAAATAGGATTGATTAGTCTGCTTCGCAATCCATCCGCAGTAGGCACCAATTCCAGCTTCCTCCTCTCCGCGCTACCTCCCATGCCGACAAACACTTTGATGCCCCTCTCTTCCGCTCGCCAACAGAAGTATTCTAGTGCCTGGCGATGCCAACCCGTCCACCTCCCTATCGTCGGGAAGAAGTACCCGCTCAGCGGTATGAGCTCGTTACTGGGATGGGGGTGGTCGATTTCGGGATACCGATAGCTCGCACTTGTGATGACAACTTCGGAGTTCAACGTTATCTCTCTGATGTTGGGGAGTGCCAATATTGAATCGACGTCGGCTTCGTATTCTTCCATCAGAAAGTCTCGCGGAAAGCCTTGAATGTTGACGAGGGATTGGACTAAGACCCGGTCCTGGGCTAATGGGTACTGCAGGGCCTGTCTGAATTGAATGCAATCGCTCGGCATGGTGCAAAATATCGGATTGAAAAGATCCGTTTTTGGATGTACCCATAACGGAGACGCCTTTTTGCTGTACGAATCCCAAAGGGTCATGCGCGGAAACTTGCGTAGAGCCATGCCACGAGTCTTGCTGTTCACCTGTAGCACAAGACATAGTTGTTCAAATCTTCTCTTCCTATTCCGTAGCGTCCATCTCGGATTTGAGAACAAATCGGTGACTTGTACGTCAAGCCGTGACTCGGGTTCAGAACGCGACGATAGGTAGAAACACAAATCCATTGGCTCCGCGGTGACTTCGGCTTCGAGGATGAGAATGTCGACGACGTTGAGGAAGACCTCGAATGGAAGCGAAGGCGCGACTGGACAGGCCGCCATCGCAGGCGATAGGATGTGCTCGTCGCGAAGCTGATTGTGTCCACCTTATCTGTGTAGGGATTGAAGAAACCAAGTGTTTTGCGCCGCGGGGAAAAGAGAGGCGATCGCGAAAAAGTTCTGCGTTTGAGTCAGTCAACTGTGCAAGAATAGTCTGGAGGCTTCCGTGCGTACTTACGACGGTGTCGAGGTGCGGTGAGTCGCGATAATATGATGGCCAGGGATTTGCGCGTCGTTGATGCATCAAGTCAAATTGACCTCGGCGACAGACAGAAATATCCCGACAAGGCAGAATAATGTCGGGAGGCTGGGCTGATCAGACGCCATTGTCGGCGGATAAAAGTGGACAAAGACGGTGCCGACGCGACTACCTACCCCAAAGAACAGGCTTTCTTACATGTGGACAAACACTAAAGAAAAACAGGATAGGGGTGATGGGGGCGTGACAGATGCAAGTAAGGACTTAAGCGCTACACGGACGAATGGGAGTCGCTGACATCGGTCACGATGGCATCCATGGATATGTCTGACATCGGTCACGATGAATCATACCACCCGGAAGATAAACTTGAGTTACCCGAGTCGTCCAACCCACACGGCGATCTCTTATAGCATCGACATTCGGGATGAACAAACTTCATTCTTGTGCCGGCAGGAGTTTGAATCAACTCGATCGTCTTCCAGAACCAAAAGAATCGCGGGTCGATGCAAAAGATTTTGATGCCCCTTGCACGAGCTTTCTCCGCCCATATTGCAAAATTCTCGTTCGGTTCGTCGTCGTTGAAGTACAGAGCCAGCTCTGGGAAGAGATCTGCGTCAATTGGAAGCAAGTTGGCATGGGAATGCAGCTTTTTCGGGACCGGTACTGGCTCGAACTCATCACCGGTGTATCCGATATTGAGATTTATCTCGCGCAGATTTGGCAGGGCGTAAACTGTCTCGAGTTCTGGGACCCAGCCCTCGCCGAAAAAGTAGGGCGGAAAATCGTGGACTACCTCGATGCTCTTGACGAGCTGGGCGTCGAGTGGCGTTGGGCTCTCGATCGCACGCTTGAGATTACCCTGTTCTTCGTCGGCGTCGGTATTGAGGTAAAAAAGATCTAACTTTGGACAGACCCAGCCCATGTGTCTCGATCGGGGCCTGGCAGTTCGCATGGGAAAGGGGACAAAATGCTCGTGGATAAGTCGTCTAGTATGGTGGTTGATCTGCAAGGGCGCGCGAATGCTGCGGAAGCGTCTCATCTGGGTGGAATCGTGCTGCCAGGCGAAGCGGGTGTGAATCAGAATATCAAGCTTGGAGTCGTGTCTCGCGTCGGAGTACGTGAGAACCATTGCCATCTCGTCGGCTATCTCCACGGCTTGGGTGACGAGGGCTTGTAGGATGGCGAGGACAATTTCCGGCGGCAAAGACTCAGTCATCGATGACCGGCGGATGGTCGGCTGAGGTGCTGTCTTAGGCGACGCATCCCAGGCGATGCTTGAATTGCTTGACTGATCGGAGTCGTAGTAGTCCATTATGTGTGGGCGCGGCACTGCAGGAGGATGAGGAACAGCGATCGAGGGCAAAGTGCGGGAAGGCAAGTGGTTTAACCTTTTGCATTGATATCTCGGATGTGAAAAAGCACTTTCCAATCATGCGCGGGCCGAGAGGCAGAGAAATGATACGTGAAGTGAATGACGATCCTTCCAGTGGTGGACTGAGACATAGATTCAAAATCCGCATTCAGCGATGTGAAGCCTGACGACAAATGCAAACAGTCAGCGCGGGGAACTTGAGAATACCTATGCCGGTGATACCTCCGAGAACGTTTTGGGCCTCCATTCCATCAACGTCGCTCAGTTCGTTTCTGGTGGAGGTGTAATGTTCGTGGATGAAGTAGTCAAGGATGTTGCGATGTCAACCCAGCGGCGTAGGCACATGCTGTTCGGATAGCAATCCAGTCATCGAGGTAAGACCTGTTGGCTCGTAGAATAATGCGTTGCGACCGACATCTTCGAGTCTGTCTGGTGCCTGGAATTATCGGTATTCATCGAAAGTTAGATCGCGAAGCTGGATCTCGCATCGATGTGTTCTTTGCTTTGCATGTCGTCCGTATTTCGCGCTGGGTCGAAGGCGGGCAGCCTCGGAATGGCCTTAATATTTCATGTTCCACAAGATGCCGCATTGGACAGGCCAAGCCAGGTCCAGCCCTTGCTTGTGCAACCGCAATGCTGCAGCCTCTTTGTTGCCTCTCAAGTTGCTCGAGATAAATGAGATGGTGCGTTGAATGCGGCGGTGACGGGTAGCTGCATGGAAGGCAACCGCGGCAAGGAGCTCCTTTTGGGGGGCTCGCAGTTTCCTCGCGAGAAGGAGGAGTTGGGAAAGTCCTTCCTTCCTCTTCTGTTGTGCCATCCCATGCTGGACGCTTCTCGTCTTTTCCACCACCACCAATTATTGGAAAAGAGTGGTCTTGCTGTCGCAAACTTTGCAGCGGCTTATTGTGCAATAAAATTTCGAAGGTAAACTGCGCGGCCAATTTCCAAGCTCAGGGCTGACCGTCGATACGTTACAGATCGCCGCACTTTCGACTTCAAGCGAAATCACCAAGCCGTGTGTTTTTGGTGGGCTTGCTTCGGAGACGACTGGGACGAAGACGACTGGTGGCCTTGGAACCTCTTTTGGCATCAGACTTCTATGCAGTACGCGGCGCAACGCCAATTGGAGTGGGACAGTGACCATCACCGCCATCATGGAGACACCAACGACTCTGACGACGATCATGACGACCATGAACACCACGACGACGATGACGACGATAACGACGACGACGATAGCGACAGCGACGACAGCGACTAGATGTAGGCGAATGCTCACATGTCTCTTCAAGCTACCTCCCAAAAGGCACCAGAATCACAGTGTTGCCGATGCAAGACGCAGGCAGCGAAACCAGGTAATAAAGACACCGTGACGTCTAGTTTCACCTTTCAATCCTCCAAAACGCTCTGCCCCAAAGGATAATGACGAGCACCTGCGCATTTTCGAAGCATTCCGCGGCCCGCCTAATTCTGTTCTTCAATTACCTCTCAAGACAGATGGCCCGGCGGATATTTTCTTGCCACCACTCGACATGTGCCACTTTCGGAATTGCATCTGGTTCATTTTCAGGATTTTGAAGTTCCAGCCAGATGTCGCTTCACCCACAACGTTCTCGAGATGCCCGTTGAGTAAAAGTATTGTTCGATACATGTTCGACACTCTCTGCGGCTTTCACCGGTGAAGATCATGCGCACTTTCACTGGCTTCGATTTCGGCGTCTTCCAACGGAGACATGCCATGATCATTTACATACTTTCACGCCTGTCTTTCTTCGAAGAAATTGATGTCGCAATCGGTGCTGTCCATCGAGACATGACAGGCCAAATAGCCCAGCATTCGCACGGAAGCCTCCAGGCCTTCGACGAAAACATCTTTTCTGACTTGGCCTCTTAGAAGGAGGTCTATGGGTTGGAATTCAGCAAGCTTCTGGGACTGCTTGACGAGACTATTGTTGATGGCGAGAAGGCAGTGAAAAAAAAGCCAGTCGACATCATATTGAAGGGGTCACATGGGATCCTCAACATGAAGACTGCGAAGCTGAATGCTACATATTCAGAAACTCGAATGTCCTTTCCCCACTGGGTAGAACAACGGGAAATTTTGACAGGATTTCATTTCGCCTTGACTCCTCAATTTCCTTCCAGATGGCTTCGCGTCTGTCCCATTGTGCAGCTTCTTCATCGGTGAAAGATCCCTTCCTGCGGCGGTGAGCGAACCACGCCCAGTCCATAACGCGCCTGTCTTGTGGTGAGGCATGCTTCAATGCATGCATGCATGAAGTTGGTTTCGGGTTTCCAATCATGTTCGCTCCCAATCTCGAATTTGTCTACCTCTGGAAATATCAGAAACGGGACATCCCTAAGGAACTCAGGGTATCCACTGTAGTACCACAAAATCTTATTGTAAGTGGCTGCATAGATTACGACGTGGGCTTGAAGTACTCTTCGATGAAGGAGTTTTCTAGTCTCCCGGCAGACGCTCAAGGGGATCCGCAAAGCTCGGTACCGTTTCATCTGCGCCAGGGCATTGCGAGGTAGTTCCCTTCGCCGCGTGTAAAATCTGACGGAAAGGCGATCGCTACATGGTGACGGGTCCAAGAAGGGGAAGCCGCGCGAGCGGAGCTTCAGACGAATAGGCTCGTGGGATGAAAGGGAGGACAACACCTCGTCGATGAGAAGCCCGAAGATATGAATGGTCATGTCCCAGGGGATGTAAGGCATTGTGTCTGAGACGTAAATGATCAGTCCACTGATCCTTTGGGGCTTCCTCGGCATTGCAATTGGCTGCTGTGGTCGTCTACTGACCTCTTGGCTTTAAGCTTCGCTCCCGGATACTGGTCTTAGTCTTCGGCACAAGGAATGTACCGCGACGACCACCTTTTGCTACAGGTTTCCCACCAGGGCCGAGCGGATGAAACCCTTTCTGAAAAAAGCCGCATTGAGGAGAACGAAGATCATAGCTGTAGTGGAAGAAGTATCTGAACGCCATGTGATGCGGCGCCCACGTCTTGCAGATGCACGGGTTCGTCTTGTAAGCCAGGCGCGGGCCGTCCGGGGATGCCACCAATTCGGCCCACGGCTCCGCTCGTAGAGAGGTCGCAAGCCAGATCTTGACAATCTTTTCTCCGAGCACCCGAGAAAGCTCATAGAAATCGTGCCCCTGAGTCTTGCTCCAGTAACTCAGCCCGTCGGGATCGAGGGGGGTCTCGCACTTGATGTGCTCGAGCTTGTCATGTGAGTGACTTTCGGGAAGTGGCTCAAAGGTGCGACTTGAGGGCGAGTACGGTGCTATAGATCTAGGATCCTCGGCCGTGAGGATGACCTGGATGCTGCGAAGTCTCGGAAACGCCGCCAATACTTCGATGAGTGGGCCATATTCCTTGTTGAAATAATGTATATGTCTCAGCGTGATGTTCTGGACGCAGCTGAGAAGCATCGTGTCGGCGGGCCGCGGGTTCTGCAGCGCAAGGAGCAGATCGCAGAATGCGCCCCTAACAGCCTCCACTGTAGAGCCCCCCCAGGGAATGTAAAACTTGTCCATATGGGGACAGATCAGACAGGGAACTGCATCATCAAAGTGACGTTTGCAGTCTGTTTCCGTGGGCGGCAATGCTGTAGTCTGGAACTCGAACGGAATGAATATTCGGTGTACCATCTTGCGAGTTGCGTGATTGATGCCCAGAGGAATACGAAGGAGTCTGTATCGCTTCTGTTGCGTCGCCACGTTGCAGAGAGAAAATTCGAGGCGTCCCGGTTCACCATGATCGCAGTCTGTCCCAGGGGCTTCGAGGCGTACGTAACCTGGCTCGGGAGCAGCGTTTTTGGCGACCTCGATGCAGCAGACTGCCTGGCCTCTTGTTTCGAGGAAAGCAATGATGTCGTCTATCGTGTGCTGAATAATAAGGATGAAAATATCATTGGGAATCGTTTCTGGGCCTGGTCTACCAGAGAGGGCGGGCCGCAGAGATGGTTCTGGGGGCGGCCAAGGGATAATGTTCTCGCGAGGTTTCCGAATTGGCAGGATGATCTCCATGGTGAGGTGATGGTGATGGGAGAAGATTGACCGTTCTTCGCGTGAGAAAGAGAGGAATTGGAAAGATAAAGGTCGGCAGCTTGCTCGACGGAGGCAAAGGGTAGATATTATTGAGGGGTAATGGACATTGACGTTCGGGAAGTTTGGCTTGGCAGATGCAGCCCTTGTCCTACCTGGCCAGCAACAAACCAACCGTTGCAGTCTCAGAAGAATGGGGAAAGCACAAGCGAGCGATGAAATCAACTTCCGACGGCATTGAGCCAGACTACCTTAGAAAGTATACCTAAACGCCGGATCATCCTGGATGGGAACCCGCTGCACGTCGGCCTTCCTGTTCTGTCGCCTAAAATACCACCACATCAACGCCACCAACAAGATCAACAAGAACTGCGTCGCGACCGCGCACCACACGCCAGTCCGGTACGTCGGGTACTCCTGCTGCATGAAGGTGCACGAGGCGTAGATGCCTCCGATGGCGGCGAAGAGCATCTGCACGCCGCTGGCTACCGAGCGCCGGCTATTGGAGCGGACGTTATTGGATTGGAAGGCGATGATGGTCGGGAGGTTGCCGTTGCAGCCGGACACGCCTAGGAAGACACCTGGAAAGAATTAATGCGTGCGGCGGGTATTGGCATCCTCGACGGTCTTACCAAAGTATCTCACACCATTGTTTGAGTGATACGCCGTCAGGAGGAGTCCCGTCAGCGTGATGGCCGCGTTGAGAACCATCCACGGCATCCTCAACCGCGTTTTATCCGCGATGTAGGCGACGAGGAGCGTCCAGATGATGCTAAAGAGATACGGCGGGGCGCAGAGGAGGAAGACCACGGCGGTGGAGTAGCCCAGTGTGGTAAGGATGATCTGGATGAAGTAGGCGAAGGCGTAGATGGGCGCGGAACAGCAAAGGAACATGAAGCCGTACACCCACAGCTCCCAGCGTATGACGAGCTTCGTGAACTTTTGCCAGGTTAAGGGATCGGGCTCCGCGTCGCCTCGGTCGCGCTCCACGCGGTCGAGGATGGATTCGATCTCCTGCTGGGTGAAGGCGGTTCGTTTTCCGGATGCGAGGAGCTGGTCTGGGAAGGGCAGGGTGAAGATGTATCCGATGAAGGAAAAGCCTACTGTCAGGGCGCCTTCGATGCTGAGAGAGGTTAGTTGGGTTGGGAGGCGGGTGGCGTGTTGACTTGCATGAAGATCCAACGCCATCCTGCGATACCGTGAGCTCCGTCCAGCTTGATGATGGCGTAGGCGAGGATGTTGCCAAAGGCGGAGATGAAGAGGTTGATCATATACCAGAGCGCCATTCTGGTCTCAGAGGTCAGTGGTGATGAAAGTATGTCTGGCATGAGGATCACTCACCTCTGCTGAACTTCGTATCGTTGATACCAGCTGCTCAAAAGATACATGCAGCATGGCAGAAACCCGGCCTCGAAAATCCCGATGAGCATCCGACAAGCCACAATCACTCTCCAGTCATGGGCGAACCCCATGCCAAGCATCACTATGCCCCAACTAAAGACCAGACCATTGAGAAGTATCTTCGGGCCGATGGGTCTTAGCGCCAGGGTGGTGGGCAGCTCGAAAAGGAAGTACGTGACGAAGAAGACGAGCAGGGCGATGGAGTAGCGATCTCCAATGTCGAATCTGAGATCTTGGTTCATGCCGGCGACACGTGCGTTGGAGAGATTCACGCGGTCTAGGCCGGCGATGGAGTAGAGGATGCCCAGGATGGGAATTAGCCGCCAGTCGACCTTGCGTCTACACCTTCTCAGCTAGGACCAGGGCGATAATCGTTATTGAGAATCTTACCGAACGCGGGCTTCAGCCGTTCTCTGCTCCAGCGAGATGTCACCCTCAACGAAAACATGTTTGCGATCTTTCTCATCCACAACATCCGCCTCGTCAACATGTGGCTTCTCCAGCGATGCCATGTCGATCAACTTTAGCCAACATGGACCGAGTCGAGCCCTGATCCCGAACCCAGGGGCCCGGGTCCGAGGGGCCTACTTATTCTCGATCTGCCGGGTAAATGTACACATGGCATCGTTGCAGCAGGATCTAGGGTACGGGCAACATCAACCGAGCCGTCGTCTAGCAAGATCCGCTCCGCGCCCCAACGTCTCGTCGAGGCGTCTCATTGGATACCATGATGGATCTGGAATGCCATCGAACCCCAAACCCCGGATTCTGCAAAGACGGAGGGCAGAACCGTCGCGGGGAAGTGGGCCGGGTGCCAAAAGGGAGCCAAGGGACGTGGATGTTGCTGTGCGGCTCACCGGATAAGGTTTTCAGATGGAGCTCCAAATTCCCCTGTAACGCCGACCGGCTTGGCGTGGCCTATGTTTTTTTTCTCTGGTAGGATGACGACGTTGGTTGACTAATTTGCAGATAGGAAGTGGCATTCCGACGATTTCCGCGGTTCCGAGCGTGGTTTGAGATATGGATTCACCCCGCCGCTGATAATCGCTGACCGGTGCGTCGCGGGTCACGGACGATGGCAAAAGAAACACCACAATGATTGAACGTACCGAATGGAATTACTAAGCTGATGAGAGATGAACTGCTGCACATGCGAGGCATCTTCACAATCACCTGCATGGCTGTTTCAGCCGTCAATCGCCTGATCGATATGCTCACTCACTCCTGCCCCTCCTTCGGCTTCGGGATGACGGGAGGTGTGGTTTCGCCGAAAGCTGATGTGAGACGGCGCGTGAGCGAGAGCGTGGGAAAACACTGTGGAGGGATCCATCTCCGTTGATCGGAGCCGAGAGCGGAGATGACACTTCCGACGACCCATTTTACCCGGGAAGCCCTGTGCTTTGGTTTTGTTACTTCCATCCAGAACCGGATTAGGAACGGCTGGCCAAAGCTCGGGCCACCGACGTCGATTTGGCTTATCGCCTCTGAATTTTTTTTTTATTCCTTCTTTTTTTCCTCTGTCCCTGTGCACCTTGCCAGGTTCATCCTTCCATGCACATCAGACTCGGCGACTCATCATCGGCCGAACACTGTCAATTGAACGGTCAGGGCGCACGCACAGTGACTGCATCTCCCCAGACGAATGACCTGCTTGCTTCTCGACTCTCTACCGCAACTGCCGTCGGCGTGGCTTGCCAAGGGCGATGGGAACAAGAGGGAACCTTCACAAGCGTGTTTGCCCGCTGCAGGCAGCCTTCCCGCGGGCAGCGCCCCGCCGAAAGAGAAGAGAGAAGTCTCGGATGGAGCCCGAATTGCCAAAGACAAGCGCCGTCCTGCTCCGGAAATAATTTGCGACCACACAGTTTGTGGTCGAGACTCTGGACAGGGACGCCTGGTGGCTGCCATGACAGGTTCCACATCCCATGCGGAGGGCCCAATCCGCAGAACTTTCAATGTGGTATCCCTCGATATGCTTTCATGTCATTAGACGATTGACGGCCGGATGCTTCTTTCTCATAAGGGAGGAACAGCATCTTCCAACGTCGTCCGCCAGCGCACAACCATGTCCTCAGCACTTGCGATGCAGCTCCCTCACCGGAGTGTTGCTAGCTGCCCTGCTGTTGGAGCCGGCCCAGGTCATGACTCTTGTGTTCCCGGCTTGGCCTGGGCCTGCCCGCTTGCCGCTTATTCCCACGGGGAGACTTGGCCACGACTGGAGAAGGGAGGTGGGGTCCAAAAGCGGACCTCGGCTGAGTATCCACTCCTCCTATTCATCTCGAGGAAAAGATTGGCTCCTCTGATAACGAACCGGAATTTGTCACTTTGCCGTCTCGTTTCACAGCAGCAATCAGCCAAATGGAGTGAGACACTCATGATGCGGAGAATGGCGTCGAATACAGGCGCCTTTGCTGCATGGACCTGGATGTCTCGGTTCACTCTTCTCGACGACGCGCCATTACATTCCCTGATGTCGGACAATGAAGGTATCATCCATATACCGTACGAATACTATGTATAGACCACAAATCGGGTCCTCAACATGGTTCTGCTTCGGCCGGCCTTCCAACACCGGCTATCTTGGCCCCAAACGACCGACACGACCCCTAGTCCCCGCCGTTTATCCCCAAGGGGACGCACACAGAAACAGTCCAAAGTCCCATCGACAGGCCGCAGAAAGGGCGGGATCGCCCACGTCTTTTTTCCAGAATGCCCACCCACGCCTCCGATTGCGTGCCTTGATTACCCACATCGCGCCCCATCGCACCCTTCGCCCCGGTGGATCGGATGCGGGCTGCCCACCACCACCCACCATCCATCTGCACTCCTGCAAAGTCCTGCACCCCTTGGGCTCCACGGAGAGGGGCCGTCTACCTTGTCTGTCTGACCAGCAAGTTGCAACAAACGTTTGACGGGCCGCTTTGCCCAAAATTTTGTTGGTTCTGTTCAATCTTCTTCCTTCCCTCGTCTCTCGTTTTCTCGCGGCCGGGGAATGCATACTTCTTACCAAAAGGTCACTGATTGTTGACTCATCGCTCTTCTTCAGTTCCACATTGTAATTCACGCGCTTGTTCCGCGGTCATTCGCAGATAAAGGCGCATCATTGGCCATTCCAGTCGAGTGTTGTAAGCTGGTTGCGACGTTCAAAACTCGTCTCCCGAGGCCCGGCGCCGCCTCCGTCATCCGTTCTCGTCACATCCAACCTCGGGCAGCACGAGCGCGTCGCGTTCGGCTCAATTCATGAGAGCAACACACTGAGCTTGAGAAACCTCGCCTACCAAATCAGCATCTACATCCGGGCCGCACCGTAAAGTTCCACCACACACAATGTCCGCCCCCGATCCGGAAAAGGGGTCCCACGCGGCCGAGACCGCGACAACGACCAGCTCCGGCCAAGACTCGCCGCAGCTCCGCCCTCTCAAGACCGTCCAGTCTCGGCACAGCCACCGGAGCCGCGCCCTGTCCACCTCCTCCACCGATACCGACCCCCTCGAGCCGCTCTCCCACGCTCTCACCCCGGACCTCGAGACCGAGGTCGAGCACGCCGCCCGGGAGCCCATCACCTACACCCGCACCGGCACCAGCATCGGCAGCACCGCCTCGCGCCCGCCCGACTTCGAGGTCACCTTCGAGCCCGGCGACCCCGAGAACCCTAAGAACTGGCCGCTGTGGTACCGTGCCTGGACCATCTTCGTCGTGTCCTTCTCCACCTGGGTCATTGTCCTCTACAGCACAAGTTACACGGCGTCTATCCCGGGTCTTGTTATCGAGTATGAGTCGTCCCAGGTCATCGCGACACTGGGTGTCACGACCTACCTCCTCGGTCTCGCAGCCGGTAGTCTTATCGTCGCCCCGATGAGTGAGCTGTACGGCCGACAATACGTCTACGTCGTATGCTTCATCATCTCGGCGCTGCTCATCATCCCGTGCGGTCTGGCCAAGTCGCTAACGACACTCATCGTCGTCCGCTTCTTTGGGTATGTCACTCCCCTTTCCAGCACACTTCACTCTGATGACATCTGACCCGATATAACAGCGCCCTCTTTGGTGCCGCCCTGATCGCCAACAGCCCCGGAACCGTCGTCGACATCGCCGACGAGGAGTACCGCGCCCTCGCCATGTCCTTCTACAGCATCGCGCCCCTGAACGGCCCCGTCACCGGGCCCCTCATCGGCGGCTTCGTCTTCCAGTACCTCGGCTGGCGCTGGACCAACTGGGTCGTCCTCATCATCGCCGGCTTCGCCATCTGCCTCATGTTCACCCTCAAGGAGACCTACGCCCCGACCATCCTCCAGCGCAAGGCCGCCCGCATCCGCAAGGAGACCGATGATCCGCGCTGGTGGTGCCGCTACGACGAGAAGGTCTCCAAGCTACACCTCATCAAGCTCAACCTCAGCCGCCCCTTTGTCCTCAGCTTCACCGAGCCCATCCTGTGGTTCTTCAACATTTGGTAAAACCCACCAACCCAAGTACTCACACGTAGTAACGCTAACTTTTCCACCCAAGGATCTCCCTCATCTACGGCATCCTGTACCTCTGCTTCGTCGCCTACCCGATCGTCTTCTCCCAGCACCGCGGCTGGGGCCCCGGCACCTCGGGCCTCGCCTTCCTCGGCATCGGCGTCGGTACCATCGCCGCGATCCTCAGCGAGCCCCTCTTCCGGCGCATCATCAACGCGCACCCCAAGGACCCCGTCACCGGCCGCGTCCCGCCCGAGGCCACCGCGCGCGTCATGACCATCGGCGCCATCCTCACCCCCATCGGCCAGCTCGTCTTCTCCTGGACCTGCCTGCCCAAGACGATCCACTGGGCCGTCCCTATCGCCTTCGGCATCCCCTTCGGCGCCGGCAACACCATCTCCTTCATCTACGGCAGCAACTACCTCGCCGGCGCGTACGGCATCTACGCCGCCAGCGCGCTCGCCGGCAACGCCGTCATGCGCAGCATGTTCGGCGGCACGCTGCCCCTCGCGGGCTCGAGCATGTACCGCGCGCTGACGCCGCAGTGGGCCGGCACGCTGTGCGGCCTGCTCGAGCTCGCGCTGATCCCGATCCCGATCATCTTCTGGCGCTACGGCGAGCGGATCCGCGCGAAGAGTCCGGTCATCAAGCAGATGCGCGAGGACCAGGAGAAGAACGAAAGTAAGCGGGCCAAGGCGCTGGCGAGGCTTGCGAGGAAGAAGGAGAGGGAGGCGGCGGAGGCGGCTGACGGGGAGAAGACCACGGGCGTGTTGGAGGAGCAGACGCAAGCGAGAGACTTTGAGCAGGAGACTGGTAGTGGGAAGGCTTAAGGGCAGAAGGGTAAAAGGGGAGGTGTATCATGATGGGACGAGTATGTGTGACTATCATGAGAGGGAAAAGCGCGGCATTTATTGGCGTTTGGACTGGAGACCTACGGGCTCACGATATATATAGACTTGGAGGATCCAGCGGTTGCACATAGAGCCACCATCTAAAAGTAATACCATTTCCGTACACTAATACCAATCATATGGCTCGGGCAGCCTGAACCATCATGCACAATGAAGAGAACCCAATCCTCACTGGCCTTGAGCTTGCCGAAGCGAGTCCATCTTGCGTCTTTACGATTACCGGCCCACGTGCCCCGGCCCCGTCGTGTACAGCACGCACCCAGCAATCCTCATCCCCCCCACACCCGCATACCTCTTGGTTTTGTCTGGCAGACGTCAGTCCGCGCCCTTTCACGAGCCTCCCAAGGGTCCAACTTACACCGGTTCCAGTTCTCACTCAGCAACTCCACACACCAGCTCTGCCCTTCGACCAGTATCCCATCGCCCATCGGATCTTGCGGGTCTTGCGTCTTTACATTGCGGTGCGGGCACGGATGCAGGAACTCCAGCTGGAAATGCTGCTCGCTATAGACGCCGAGACCGTTCCCGCGCAGGACTTGTTTGGGACGCATTACGGGCACGAGCTCGGCGGCGCGGGCGCAGAAGCGCTTTGCGTCCTCGTGGAGGTCGGTCGCGTTGATGGAGGGAGCGGATGGGAAGTTGGAGCGGGCATGGCAGGCTTGCGGGCTCAGCCAGGCTGGGGGGTTTGTGTTGGCGATGTGTTTTATGAGGGGGTCGGGGGTGGCGAGGATGGGGAGGAGGGCGGTCGTGAGGGTTGCGAGGAGGGTGATGAGGAATAGGTAGGATGCCGGGAACATGGTTGGGAGTGAGATGTTGGAGGAGGGCGGGGGATGGTAGTCCTGGATTGAAGATGGTTGTCGCGGATTGTAAAGGCGACTTCTGTCTTTATGAAAGACGAATCACGCATTTTAGATTATGTTTACTTGGCAGACGTGTAACATATGCTCGTAAAAGCGGATCGAAATATTCCTTCGATGGACAAAGGAAGTGGCCAGGATGACTGTCCGGCCCTGGTTCATCGTCCATCAGACCCAGCCCGTACAACATGCAACGCCCCCGAAGAACGTAGGGGTACATTCGTGTAAATCCTTTCTGCGTATTACACTGATCAAGACAAATAACGACCTCCGAGTCTGCGTAGGTGACCCCATTGACGTAAAGTCTGAACACCATCGTCGGTTTTTTGTTGCACAGGTTGAAACAGATAGGCCCAAAAGGCAAACATTGGAATACAGGAAACAAGAACACCATACCCAGAGCCACAAAACGCCGCCATTTCTAAACCATTTGATCCCCGTTCACATGCCTACATATACCTCCAGTACCAAACAGCCCTCCAAAACACAACCGACATGACCAAGAACGTAGCCGGAGAAATCACAGTCATGGCAACCGCGTCAGCGAAGTAGGCCCCGTACCACACGCCGCCTGTGACATGTTTCACGTTATCCACACTCAAAATCTCGACGCCCTCCGCCCTCAGCTCGGTCCAGATGTAATCGCGGTACTTGAGCGGCCAGTCCGGAATGTCCCAGTACCGCGGCTGCAGGCCGAGGCTCTTCGCCGCCTGGACCTGGCTGCGGAGCTTTTCGCGCTGGGTGCGGCTGAAGCCGAGGCGGACGGATCCGATGGCTTGTTTGAAGGATGCGCTGGCGTAGACAGAGTTGGTGGTGTTGTAGTTTGTTTTGGTGGTGGGGAGGTCGTTGAGAGGTGCGTCGAGGAAGGTGTCGTGGTATTCGTGGTATGTGGTTGTAGCGTCTGTGTGATTAGCGACGAGGGTTGCCATGTCTAGATTCCCAGTGCCGACCACGATCAAAGGTGCGGCCAGATGGGTTTTGGCGTCGCTTGACGCCGAGGAGTTGTGGCTTGTGAGATACTGCTTCTCGCGGAGCGGCTCGAGCTGGCGGAGCACGACGGGCCACGTTTCCTTCGCATCGGTCTTGACGTCGATGAGGAGGATGATTTGGGCATCGTCTTGGAGAGAAAAGACGCCGCGTTTTGTGGCGTTCCTCTCGGTGACCTTACGGTTTTGAGCGTCAAGAATTTCTTCCAGCGGGTCGAGATACAGAGACTTCAGAGTCCGGGTTGGGGAAAGCGATGGTGTATCATGACCGACTAAAAGATCGCCATCTTTGAGCCATACATCAGCCTCGATGCCGATGCACCCTACGGATAACGCTGAAAACAGAGGTACGGGGCGCCAGTAGTCATTGTGAGAGTGACAGTGAGCAGGAGTCGCGTGGAACGTGGCGTTGTTGAGCCATGTAGAAACATAATCTTTCGGGCCATATCCCGAGTCCTCGGGGGCTTTGAAGAAGATTTCTTGGAACGATTGCAAGGATGTTTCTCTGGGTGGTCGAAGAATGAGACAATAGAAAAGAATACCACTATTATGAGGTCAGCATGATCCTGGTGAGAGGGTACGACTGTACAATTGAGGAAGGGGGAACTTACATTATTAGCGCGCAGCTACCGTAACAGCCGACTGCCCAAAATGTGACGTATGTGCGCAATCTAGGTTTTGTTGTCCAGCAGGACCGCTTCCGCTGGGAAGTCCCGTTGCAGATGAGCCTGTATTCTGAACGTTGGGGAGCATAAACATTTGGACGAGGCTGGTAGGGCTCCCCTGTGCGAATGTGGGCGAGCTCAACGTTGGAGTTGCGGTATCGTCGGGGACGTGAAAACATGTTTGGTATGGCGATTTGATTTGGAAGTCTGCCGTAGGAAATCCTTGGAAACATCATAGACTTGCATCACTTAAGTGTCTTGGGGTCGAAATGCTTCCTTTGTGTGTCTGAATCACAGAGAGAGGTGGCCACTTTGCCTGGTGCAACACCAGTGGAGTTGTACCACACTGGCGACCAAGTCATATGTTCTGTGTCTTTTGTTTTTGTCAAGAAGCTGAATACAATACAATCGTATCAGACAGCGCCTTGGATGTCTGCCGTGCTGGTTGTGCGTGGTTTGTTACCGAATCCCGGCTTTGAAGCTGGCCGGGCTGGACAATGCCATTGATCGAGATCAAAGACAAAGGTTTCTCCAGTGTTCACTGTGAGATGCTCCAAAGAGATGTTCGAAATGAAATTGATAAGCTGAACTGGGACGCTTTGATGTAGTACTAGTTTTGCATAGCCCAAACGGCGTGGTCGAATAACTTGCGTTGACAAGCGATAATCTGCAGGCAGCCGAGGACACGATCGTCCTTCTAACGTTTTTCATACTTTCGAAAAGCAGCTTACCGCGTGCTGGCACACCTTTTCGACTGCTTCGTGACTCTGACTGGGAAACATATGAGGGCCTGGATGGCTTAGGCTAGAGAAAGCCGGGGGCCCGATAAAGGTTTACATCAATAACTCCATATCAACCATCCACGGCTCGACCATGATACCCGATCTTTGAAGGCTTCAGGATACTCTAAGTGTCTGTGCCTCGGGAAAAACGGTGCAACCTTTGCTCGACTATGCTACGTCCCATTACCATAGCCCTAAGTATTGAATGTTTTACTACGCTGCCATGTGTATCCGCAAGATAAATAACATCAAACCACCTCAAACGATCTTACACCTAACTCTTGATGCATATTTCTTTCTTCCCTTCTACCTTTTTCTTCGCAGTTTGCCGCCTGGAGGTGCACCTTGTTGACTGCCGTATGACTATCACGGGGAAATATTCGAGGGCCAGGATGGCTCACAGAGAAACCTCTATGGCCACCTATGGGGGTATATGAAGAGAGCGCCTTGATGCAACATTGATACTATGAGATGTTTGTCAGTCACGAAGCTCCTTCAAACGGCAATCTTAAACGTACATCCGCCCAACACTTCTTTTCGGATCTGTGATACGTCCAAAGCCAGTTGTTTTGCTCAGATAGGTATTGCCCGTTGCCGCATGTAGGCTGGGCATCGAGCACGCAAAGGTCCAAAGAAACATGGCCAGACTGGATGAAGCCAGAGTGGCATGCGGGCCCGCGAGCTTCAATCGTCAAGCTGGGCACATCTTCGACAGGGGCCGCACTCGTTGCCGAGGCGTAGAATGTGATAAACAGGGTGGCGATGAGACGAAAAATCATATTGACGACGAGTGTGGTTCAAGTTGGTTGGGAAAGGCTGAGTATGTGGAACGCAAGAATGCGGCGAGCCCATACGCGCCTACTTGTCCTTGGAGGTCTTCTCAAATGGCCTCCAAGCAGGTGGTCAATAGCCTAGTAGGCTGGTAGATCCTCATGTAAGTCAAAAGGCCTTGGTGTTATGGATGGGTCAGCAATGAATTAGACTTTGTGTACAAATTTCCGGCACTCACCACAGAACTTAAGGCCTAGTATGAAGCATGATGACAACATGTTGTTTCGAGGCTCCGCGGGCAATGTTAATATATCACAGTAGATTGATCTTTTCCTGACATGGAGTCGTGTGAGTCAGTTGTAATCAAAGGGTACTGCGATACGAGTTATCGTACACTCCGCGTAAATGAAAGAGCGATGTATGCGCATAACTCGGAAGGTCAGTCGTTATCACGGTCTGATCCACTGGGCGTCACAGATTTGATAATACAAGCGAGTGTTAAATCCTTCTTAAGGGCCACAACATATGGCCAGGGAATGATGCAGGCCTCAGAGAAATGCACCAAGCCTTCAGGGTGAATCGTGATGTAGAGACGGCGAGCTGCCCCCCTATTAATCTTGTTTAAGCAAGCCATGTGGTCTTAGGTTTCTTCACGTAGCTCAACGTTATTCCTTGATATTCGACTGAGAGCGTGAGAAGGAGAGTTAGGAGAATAACTCGGCTGCAGTCTGGATTACGTTATGCAAAGCACTTTGAACTAGGACATCTTTCAGATTACTGAATGGCATTTGTGTTATTCTTATCTTCCGTGAAGCCACTAGTGCCAGATGAGAATTTTACTTGCGGCTGAAAATGATGGCCTAGACAAATATGCCATGTGGTTACCCTGAACAAACGGTGCCCGGTGCCGTGACGCGTCAGATGCGCTTGTTGTAGTGAGCTTTCCCCAGGAGCTGAATACGCCTCAAACCACCATGCCAATATGGATTCTGCAAGGTGCTTTAAGCTAGCGTCTCAATATAGTCAGTAGGCCGCGTCGTACACTAATTCAGGGAGAAATCCCAGAGAAATGAGAAATCAAATCGAAGGTGAGCAAGTTGCGAAATCTTAGAGATATCTGTTTGCAAAAGGTGTGTCCAAAAGAGAAAAACACAATGGACTCTGGTCTGTTTATGTACCTGACACAGAATTGGGCTGACCAATAAGTGCCATTGAGGGAGGTGACGCGTACCACCGGACCAAACTCCGACTGAGCCACACTCGTGGCTGTGTTATCCCCTTCTGTCTCGAAGATCTCCGATGCCAAACAGTAACAGTAATAATTAACCATGTCTGAGAATCCCCACAAGAAAACAACCTTATTCGAGGTCTTTATTCTCCCCTCTTTGTTTCAAAGTTTCACTTCGTTGTGATCGCCGTGAAGTTCTTAAAACCCGTACTTCGTTTACCAATACAATGACTGTCTCGAAGTCCTTAGAAGCCGGTTAGCCGCCGACTACCCCAATGCCGTCTCCCGGAGGAAGCCTCTGGTGCTGCCGGAGGAACCAAAGACGCTACATCGGTCCGGGCTTATTGTGGCGCTAGACCCGAGGCAGATCGGCACCTTTCAGAGAGCGTTGACCGGCACTGTGATTTTACTATCTCCGGTTAAGTTGCCGCCGCTATGTTGCCCTCGTCTCGGCATCCCGGCAGGTTGGATTGATGGTGCAACAACCGCAATGGTGGCGAAGGCCGACCCGTGCATTAGCTCCCGCCTGTGGACTTTTCTTTTCCATATTCTGGCCGCGACGGGTTTCTTCCAATTGCGTGTCGCAATTTCCAAAGCTCGCGCTGTGGTTGGGTGACGTTGATGGAACGGGTCAGGTCGGAGGTCCGAGTCTCTGGGCACGTCCGGTGGAACACGTCAGCGTCGAGGGGAGAGTGAGCGATTGCGAGGTATTGCGAGGTTTCGAGCACGATTACCACTGCTTGCCGTACAACCGTCCTTAAACCCGAACGAAGTGCTTTCCGGTCTATGAGATGAATGCACTGTTCAGATAATTCCGGACGGATGAGTGGGAGGATCAGGTCGTCTCATTGCGAACCACCAACACATGGTCACGATGCACCTTAACAATATCGGACCATTATGACTCGCGGAAACTTTCAGCAGTAAGACTGGTTGAACCATAGATCCTTTGAAGTCGAGCGAACTGATGCCTGGTTTCAACATGGCCAGTCCTAGTGCCGGGGAAGTAAGCATACACCAGCTTGCCAGCTGAAAGATCCCGATCTTTACTTTCAGCAGTGATCGCCGCTGATCACAAGAATAACGTGCCTTATACGCTAGTATAGTAAACGAGAAACTGTTCTCCCCGCCAATAGAACGGTTGTACCGTTGAAGGTAGATGCAATTTGAGATGACAGCCCACGTACCAACGACTGCACCCCTGCATGGCGCTATGAACAGCTCGGCGATCTCTACCATTGGCGCAAGATCCAAATATGGCAAGAACCGCTGGACCTTAGAAAGTTTGAGGCGATTTCTCCTAGGTCCGGCACCTGCAGGAGCAGGGGTACTGGATTGGGGTTTGAAAGCAGGAGAAACTTATCGGATAGAGACGCTGACAACGCCACACAGGATGGCTATTCGGGCAAGTGCATTGCCCGCAGCCCGACTACAACCTGACACATGCGCTAATATTCGCACGTTCAGAGGATCTCATCTGCCAGAATATTGTTCTGCGGGTTGTGGCTGGCGGGCCCTCGGACTGAAAGATCACGGCCGTGCTACATGATGTCTTACAGACCAACGACTGAGAATGTTCTTGTCGGGACCGAGCTCAACGTGATGTGGTGGCAAGCCGGAACTGTGTCGAACATTCTCCTCGGCCATTGCTGAGGTCTTCGAGGTATATGTACTGGAGGTCCTCACCTCTGCCAAGGCTTCTGTTTCCTCATCAAGCAACACCAAGTCACTCGCTGGATTCAGTCACTTACTTTCGTTTTTCTCTCGTTTCTTTTCAGAGCCGTCAGTTCTAATATTCATCATGCATCACGCAGCTATGCTCCTGGCCGCCTTTGCGGCCACCTCTTCCGCTTACCCCGGCTGGTCTGCCCCGGGTTTCATGGATGAGCTCCATGCTAGAGCTGGTTCCATCAGCGACCAGCCCTTGGGCGACCTTGCGAGCCTCCCCGACTCATCTCTTAGCCAAACGGGCAAGGATATCAAGAATATTCTCACTACCTCCGCCTCTGGACAGTCGACCGATCAGTACCAGGGATCAGTTCCTGCTCTCGGCAGCAAGGAATGCGCCGCCGACAAGTGCTGCGTCTGGAAGCACATTGGAGACGAGCTCGCCACCAAGTTCGCAGACGGAAGTGGGTGTACCCAACCCGCCCGCGCCGCGGTTCGCCTCGGCTTCCACGATGCCTCCGGCTGGAGTATCGCTACCGGTCCTGGCGGTGGTGCTGACGGCTCCATTGTTCTCGCCCCTGCCGAGATCAAGCGCGCCCTCAATGACGGTCTGCAGGATGCGGTCACTCAGACCCAGACTTGGTTCAACAAGTACAAGCAGTATGGCATTGGTATGGCGGACTTGATCCAGTTCGCCGCCAACAGCGGCACCGTCATGTGCCCCAAGGGG